TCAGACCTGAAAGATATTTAGGTAAGTGCAGAAATAAGTGAATTGCCTCTTACTCTGCTTTCTAAGGATAAACATTTTCTGTCACTGATGCCTATTCTTTTGTTGTCCTGCATTTTTTGTTTCTATGAGAAAGCTAAAGTGTGGGAATGTTAGAATGACTGGCGGCTCTGAGTATCACAAGCCTTATGCTGGTCTTAATGATTGACCTGAAAGATATTTAGGTAAGTGCAGAAATAAGTGAATTGCCTCTTACTCTGCTTTCTAAGGATAAACATTTTCTGTCACTGATGCCTATTCTTTTGTTGTCCTGCATTTTTTGTTTCTATGAGAAAGCTAAAGTGTGGGAATGTTAGAATGACTGGCGGCTCTGAGTATCACAAGCCTTATGCTGGTCTTAATGATTTTGCAGCTGCATAAATAACTAAGCTGAAAAACATCTATTTTTAGTAAATCAAAACATTAAAATGATAATGTTCAACATACACTTGGTTTCAAGAGATTATATGAAACACTTATGAGTGTGAATTGCTTTTGAAATCTGTCAGTATTACTGATTTTAAAATAAAGAATAGCAACTTTGTATCTGTTTTGTTTTACACTTTTTTATTGCTTTAATTTGCTTGCTCATCTACTACAATAAAGGATCAAAACCTCTGAGAAGCACAGTGGAACAACCTCATTAATTATTCAGCTTAAGAGGAGTGGTGATTAGTTTTAGAGGGAAAATGTGCAAATCTTAATGCAAAGCTCACCCCCCAGTAATTTTTTTTATCCTTTTAGTCAGTACCACCTCCTCTTGCTTGCTTAAGACCATTCCAACTAAATTCTTTGATCCCTCCCGGACTCTGCTTTCTCCCCACTTGACCTAGGAGAAGAGATTTTTCCAATCCTACAAGCTCCCAAAGATTAAGCAGAAAGTGCAAAATACTAGTGACCTTTAGTAAATCTAGGGTCCAGAACTTGTGTTAGAACTATCAGTCAGTCATAGAACCTTTCCTGAGCTAGAACAGGTTAAAAACCACCAGTATCTGGTAAGGGTAGAAAAAAAAGCATTTATTAATCATTTAAGCCATTTTTCATTTAGTAAACTTGAGTTTCCATGTATGTGTCTGGAAAAATAAGCTACTACGTGCTGCCAAGTTTAAACAAACTTTAACAAGTTCCCGCTATTTATTGCACTGTACCAAAGAGAGGGAGTAATGTCAAGCTTTTCTTGACCGTGTTCCTGTAATTTAATAAACATATGCTCAGTGTTTTATAAATATTTCCTATCTACAGTATTAGGGTGTAATGATTAGTTAAAAGATCCTGATATTGGGAAAAGGAGACAGTGATTACAGAGCAACTCAGGTGGCAAACTTGAATTTAAACAAGGTTTTTGGCTCCCAGAACTTTGTTCACTGAACATGATCAAGCTGTCTGTTGCGGAGGATTAGCTAGTATGAGCCTAGCCTAATGTATAATTCCTCTTTAAAGTTGCAATACAGGCAGTCCCCCACTTACGCGGATCCGCACTTACGAACAGGGCTTTCTCGCCCTGGAGGTCGAGGTGGCAGATTGCTACCTGCGAGCTCCGGGGCGAGAAAGCCCCGTTCGTAAGCTGCTCCGGTGCCCCTGGTCTGCTGGAGACCGTCTCCAGCAGACCAGGGGCATCGGGCGGGTTCCCGCGCTTCTGAGGCTTTGCCAGA